TTTATACCATATGACGCGTTTGGTATGTGTGGGTAGGGGTAAAAATCTGGTATGTTGGCGAATCAAAAAGACCCATTCGGCTACGGTTTAACGAATGCGCCCTAGGCACAAAACACATTACTCCTGAGACCCATTGGCGATCATTTTCTTTCCGCACACCAAAACTACGAGATTCGGCGTAATGACAACCCCTTGGCTGTCCAAATTTCGCAAAAAACCAAAGATCCGCATCGTACAAGTTTTAGATCAATCCACATACGCAAACTACAACACTCCACTAACTAAAAATATTTCATCCTGAAAAATAATGCTGTCTTTATCCGTACACAGGTGACGCATTTTATCGTCTGTGGCTTCTTGTAATTTTGTTCAGTCAAAGTGTGGGAAACATGTGTCATCTGATTAAGTGTATAGTGGGGCAAAACCGCTTTCAGTTAGACTGGCTAGCATCTGATGTTTCCCTTATATCTGAATTTTTGATTGTGTAAGCAAGAGCCGTGGCCGAAACTTCATAAAAAGGTGCTAACGAATGTTACGTGTATAATCCTTGCAATAGGGTCATCTTAGTTTCCTCTTAACACTTGCCAGGCCTCACACTGCACAAACCCTGAGCCATATTAGCATCCGGCATGAACATTAAGTTGCAATGCGATATGATCACTTCAGTTGAGATAGCAGGGTATCTACGATAGAAGTTCACAAAAGTTTTGCCCGGGAGTAAAATAATTGCTACACGGATAGTTAGGCCCTCTTTTGTAGTATGGGGAAGTGTTGCATGTGCATTATCCATCTTCCTCCATATAACCTGTGTTTTAATTTCCCCATAAAACATAGAACATCTGCATTTCTCCCTAAACATCCATATTAAACAAGCTGAACTGTTGCACGCAAAACTTATGCTACGTTTCTAATCCACTTCAAACGTCTTGCCGCAAACGCAGCATGATGTTCACAGCGGGGTTAACGAGTGTGACAACTGTTTGCCCTCGCATCCGCCGGGCGAGGCTGAAGCCATATCCGCACCCAGGCAGTGTCCGCCAGGCCGCCCCACGCGCGATGCCCAGCTCCCGACCGGCGGCGACCGCCGGCGGTGCTAATTTCGCCGGCGGATTCATTACCTGCGGCACGCGGCCGCCATCGGGCGCCGGCCGGGCGCCGCCTTGTGTGTGGTCAACCGTGAAATGGCCGGCAGGGCCATCATCCCCGGACCATCACGGCGTTGGCGGGGCCCGGGCCGGAGAGCGGCGCAGCGCCCCGCTCAGGACCGCGTGCGGCGCGGTGGCGCCACACTGCGGCGACCTCCGGCCGGACGGGACTGGCATCCGGGTCACGGAGCCAGTGTTACCGGAGAACCGGAACCGGTGGTGGCGATAATTGCTTGGATTTATGCACCTTTACAGGTGCTATGATGGCATGTGCCCGCCACACAGGGTGTTAAGCCACATCGATGGGACTGCCTGATGCAGTGTTGACATGAGGCTCCCTGGTGCAAGCGAACCGCCACATTTAAATCGTCGATTTTCATAAGACACACAGGACAAGCGTTACATGGATCTTGTCACATTTTCCATGATTATGCATGCGCAAGCGTATTCATGTGTGGTAAACCTATAATGATCCCTGCGTCGACGTTCTGTGAGCATTGCACGCCGAGCACAGACAGTCGCGCTCAAGATGCGTATATTTCACTGAACACCCAGCGTCTGTCGCTGTTCTGACTGTGGGATGACGCTGCTTGTTGAAACTGAACGACACTTGCCAAACGATCAACTCGTTAGTAGCATATAAATGATTTATTGAGAAAACACTTTATGGTTGCAGATCTGCATGTCAAAGGAACATAATCTTGATATGCCGTTGCGTTATCATTTTACTGGAAGCTTATGAAATGCGAGAAATGGCACTCTAGATTAGCCGCTCGAGCTTGCCGGTGCGTTAGCTTTCTCCAGCTTTTGCATTTAGATGATGAAATTATTTACAGTGATCTTATTTATGCTTCCGTCTTTTTTGGCCATTTGTTGCGGGGTCACTATCCTACTATTCCACAGGTTCACTGCTTCCAAAACCGTCACTCAGCACCGGCTCTGTCCAAAATGCACGGCGAGCTTTTGGGTTCCCACGCCTCTCACAGACACTCCGTTTCGCACCTGTGCTTGCGCCACACCGTTCGGCCAATGTCGTCGGCTGTCCTGGCGCCGAAACTGTTGACCCCTGGCCAGGGCTCCGACGACACATTACCGACATCGTCGGCCCATGACGAGGGCTCCGACGACACACTGTCAGCTCCTGCCGTGGGCTCCAATGACACATTACCGATATCGTCGGCCCATGACGAGGGCTCTGACGACACACTGTCAGCTCCTGGCGTGGGCTCCGACGACACAGCGATCTTTTGGCCGCCTCTGGCAGCAGTGTTGAGCGTCTGGCCTGCCTCTAGTAGCGGTGTCGCACCGCATCAGACTGCGCTACACAGTAAGATCTTGAATACGTGCGCAGAGCAGAGCGCTGTACTGCTCACATCTCGCGTCAGTGGGGCGGGCACCAGGTGTAAAGCATGCATGCGTACATGCAGAGCACACTTTCACACACCGGTGGCTGGTCGGCCGTGCCGCGTTTCACCATAACGCGCTTCAGGGATGGTTCAGACCCTGTTGAGAGGCATGTCACGAAGCACCGACGGCAGTTATGCTGCATCGCAGCGTGGCAGAGCCATCTACGCTCCTCGGCATCACGGCCAGGACCTGGTAATCTTCGCCCGGTGTCTTGTCTCGTTCTCCTTTTGCCTTCCTCGTCGCCTCGATGAAAGATTCGACAAAACATGATAGAATGGCCTGCCCTGGTGATCGTAAACGGCCGTCAGTTTTCGATAAACGGAGGGGCCGGAGGGTGGCAACTACCCTAGGGTATCCACATCAATGTATCAATGTTGTAGATACCCTAGGGCATCTACAACATCCGCGACGTGATCGTATTTACGGCGGCCCTCAATTAAAGGCAGAGAATTTCATACCTTCTCGATAGTGTCCTGGCTTCTTTGGGTAGCTTCCGTATGATCGTACCAGCACACGTGATGGAGGACAAGAGCGTTTGCAGTTGTCCCGATAGCCTGGCTGGTATCGACGCCAGCCCGGAGGACTCGGTCCACGGTGGACCGGTCCGGCGACCGGCCAAGGGTGGTAGGAGCACCTCTTTGCGCCGCGCAGCACTACGCACGGCGCGATAGGGATGTGAAGTGTCACTACTCCACCAGCAGTTAGAAGCAACTCATAAGTACGAACTAAATCAAACCGTTGCTTCTTATAACGACCCGGAGGAGTGGGGCATAATGGGGGGCGCACGTTGCTGGCGCGTCCTGCATTGTTTTATTGACCATGAGGCCTCGCCATGTCAGTGAGGTTGGTGTGCTGTCTCTGGTTGTTTGGAGGTTTCTCCTGGCCGAACAATAGCTTTACAACAGCTGGTGACAGACGGCAATCTTAGGTTGCCACTTTACGTCCACATCAGCCAGTGCCAGTATCCAATCAGCAAATATGATGTTTTGTCTTGTGGTCATCATGTCTAATTCCTGCCACTAGATGTCCAACGTCTCCTATGACTTGTCTGCAATTCTGCAAGTGAAAAACAGGAGGTTCCAGCTGAAACCATTAAGCCAGCAAGCGTTTTGCACCATGAATGTTAGCATTCAAAACACGGTTACGCTTTGGTTTTGCCAGCATGGGGAATCTGAAAATGGTAGGCCAAACCCTTTACTGCATGGAAGCTCTGACTGGTTGATATTCATGTCAAATGCCAACCGCTGATATATACAGTGTCATAATAACAACCAATGAGTACTGTTTTTAAGAAGCTGTTGCAACATGTTGTACGGATGTTCTGTAAATATGATGCAACATTTTTGGAAAACCATCCGTGGCATCTTGAGAATACCTATTTGGACATCTGGGAACACATTCTACACTCTTTCTAGCCTACGCTCTTGTGACTCAAGTACGCTGACTTTCACCCAGCACGATTGTTGGCACTTGTCATACTACATACCGTACTGGCAAAAGAAAACGGGCGAAGTAGGAAAATGGGTGCATTTACTTAACTGAGCAAAATAGTTTTGGGTTGTGATGATGGGAAGAGCACAGCATAAAAATGTTTTGAATTCCTACACACATATTCCAAATGTTTAAATTTTTAAATATTTCAGCTGAATATCTTCAGCTTTTCACGTGCAGAATTCACCAAAACACAGGGCAGACGAACCATAAGCTTAACTGGCTCTAATAATACAAAGGCATGTAACATAAAACAATGCGTTCATTTACCGCTCGCAGGCCACCATTGATTGACGTTGATGTTGAATGGCAACTGCTGACTGCTTTCTTTGACAAGATATTTCAACATGACCCCCTTGACCCCACTGGGCGGGTGCGGACGACATCAGCCTCTTCTCACCTGTGCAATTGGGGAGAGGGGGCTGGGGGCACGGGCTCTACACGTCTGACGACGTCTCGGGGCGAGAGGTGCGATCCCGCAATCAGGGATGGGAGAGCGGCGATATGTTGCACGGTTTCGGCGCTGGCCCCGGGTGTGGCTGAGAACTTGTGACGGCGGAGAGCGAAAGCCCGGCCAGTAGGCTGATCTGTGACTGCGTGAATGACTGTAAATACAGCTGATGAGCCGCAATTTAACAGCTTCGCGCCGAAGTGATAACGGGGCTACGGCAAGGCGAGGTGTTTGGCGCTGGAGTGATCAACGGTAGCGGATCACGGATGGGCCGACCACCTTCCGATGCCGATGGTCGCAGAGCCGAGCGGTAATTTACCCTGTATTTCACGTAGTATTCGAAACCGAAACCAATGCGCGTCGCGATATATTGTGATATAGCCCCTATATATATATATATATATATATATATATATATATATATATATATATATATATATATGCGTAAGGTTGTATGCATATATTTATGTTGTGATATAGCCTCCAGCCGAAGTCGCCCACGGCTAGCAGGACGGCCAACTTGGCGTAGCAATGGCTTTCAAATCGGTCAGGTGACGCTCCCACCAGGCGGGCAGGCTTTTACTCGGTTTGCGTCATGCTCCCTTTTTACGGGGTCGAGTCACAGGAGTGGTAATGCCTGGGAGAGGTGAAAAGCGCGGAATACGCCCGAGGAAAGGGCTCGGATGGTTACGAGTCAGGAACCAGACGATCGCAGCCTCGTTCTCACGCAGAAATACGTTTGATGGGTGGCGTAACTCGAAGGCATGGTTTTATTTACTTTCGGGCCAGGAGACGGTCGACTAATTTCGTTGTCTCCTACTGGACCTCAGGCGTGACGACATGAAGATGCGTAGGTCATGGTGTGACCAGGGACCAGTTTGGACCGTCCGGGATGCAGGGTTGTGCACGGCGGTAACTGAATCTGTCCGTTGGTGTGCGACGCCTCGGGAGGGACCAGGACACCGCCCGTTAGGAAAGACCAGGCACAGCTCTTCACCTCCCACCTCACCCAACCCACTCTCATAATAATGATGGTTAGAGTGGGTAGTGAGTGGAATAATGTGAGGCAAAGCTGAAGCTGACATGGAGACAAATATCTTCATTAAAACTACATAATGCTCCAGTACATCATGACTGCAGTCGGGACATGTGTTACAACCACGTGTTGATCAGGTATGAATGTTGTCAGTAGCCAGGAATTCTTGTAATTATCATAGCGCGCGGCATAAGCATTTGGCGAATAGTGCATTACTGGAACATGTGCGTCACTACAGCAGCTGACATATCGATAGAGTAAACCTGCATTAAAAGGCAGACTTGCGCAAAATAAGCATACTGGTAAACAATGCTTGCCAGAGCCAGAGAACCCTTCGAACAGAGTCACTATGTTACACGCGATCGGGGGGAAATGCATGTCAGAGCAAAAGTTTCGTTGAATTCTCGTGAGGCTACCCTTATATGTGGATATATATATTTCCCTAAATAGAGGCTTTCAAGCACTCATCCCAGTTATTACAGGAGGATATTGGCGAATTGGTATGCCGTGGATAGCACATAACACATATATTGGAAAACGCCAAACAAAGAGAAATTATTAATTGCGTAGTGGTGAGGAGGGAGCTCAACGAGATTCCTCCTGTCGAAGCGGCTGCTTCAAAACCAATTTCTGAGTTTTTTAAAGGATTGCTAGAAAGATGGTTTTGCCTATGAATTTTGACCCCGTGATTTTGCTATGCGTGGAAAGTGAAAAAGTAGGATTCTCCAGTTAAGTGAAACCTGACGAACGATATTTTTAACACATGGGCACTACTAGAACTGCTTAGCCTTCACTCAGGCAGACCAGGGTACTCAGCTGCGCGGATGGCCCTGGGTAGATGAGGAGTGATAATCATGTGGAACTAGTTGAACGGCCCACACGCTGATCAGCATCAATGACAGGGTATTCAACATAACATCTACAGTATAAATACTGCCAGCAGGATCAGTATGGTTTCTAAGCTACACGCGCGGCACGGTAACAGGTATCCCGAGACAGCGCTTCAGGACTCGCGAAACTTGGGAGGAAACCTTCTAAAGCTCGCTCGATTTCCCGTTTCGTTTCTCGAAACCAATTTGTTGCAATATGTGGAGCATTGTGCTCTGGACATCTCGCAGAAAAGCGTGTTTGGGCGTTATTTTAAACAACCAAACTCTTCCAGCTCGTCGATGATCTCCAGAATTCGAACTGTAAGTTCCGGGGTACATTTTCCTGCAAGCCACCGCTCCGTCATCGTTTGTATGGCTTTTGGAGCTGCCTCTTTGTCGTTGCTGGAGAAGATCAAGCTCCGATCTTCCTCTGACGAAAACAGCATCTGCGAAAGTCCAATTGATCCAACTGGTAAAACTCTTCATACTAAGGCTTCGCCATGTTCTTAAATTTTATGAAATGTTTAATATACTGATCTACTGTCTGAATATACTAATCTGCTGTCTTATTTCACAACGAAAACGCGCCGAAACGGCAACCGACTATAGCGCAAAACAGAACAGCTTTAATAATGACAACCTATAGGACACGTCGCTCCTGCGGCTGGGAAACGTAAATATGGGGAAGGAACTGAAGCGGAACGAAACCGCCAAACCAATCGCAAGATGAAAGGGAGCCACTGAAGGGACCAGCCTACCAATCGATCGTCACCCGTGCATCAACAGACACGAGCTCACCTGGACTACCTGCTCTGCCTGGATCCAGCTGTTGCTTAGCGCATTTCCGTACATGCTGTAGAGTCTGTCGACACTGAGCCAGGGGGCCAGCTGGTCCGGCTTCTCTCCCAGTTCCTCTAGCTGAGTCCGGAACGCTGCCACGTACCTGACCACAGAGCGAGTGCGCTGAAAGTGCGGCGAACAGTTTAACAGAGCACACCGGCTGTGGCGGACCACACCGGCTGTGGCGGACCACACCGGCTGTGGTGGACCATACCGGCTGTGGTGGACCACACCAGCTGTGGCGGACCACACCGGCTGTGGTGGACCACGCCGGCTGTGGCGGACCATACCGGTTGTGGTGGACCACACCGGCTGTGGCGGACCACACCGGCTGTGGTGGACCACACCTGCTGTGGCGGACCATACCGGCTGTGGCGGACCATACCGGCTGTGGCGGACCACACCGGCTGTGGCGGACCACACCGGCTGTGGCGGACCGCACCGGCTGTGGTGGACCACACCGGCTGTGGCGGACCACACCGGCTGTGGTGGACCACACCGGCTGTGGCGGACCACACCGGCTGTGGTGGACGACACCGGCTGTGGCGGACGACACCGGCTGTGGCGGACCATACCGGCTGTGGCGGACGACACCGGCTGTGGCGGACCATACCGGCTGTGGCGGACCACACCGGCTGTGGCGGACGACACCGGCTGTGGCGGACCATACCGGCTGTGGCGGACCACACCGGATGCTGGCTATCGTGAGCTCACCGGATGCGGGGTGTAGTAAATATGGACCCAAATTGAGACTACAAATATGATCATTGTGGACTCAAATTGTTCCTTAAAATTACCATTTTGGCCGCTTTGGACAAAGATGGGCCAAATGTTTGTAAATACGTACAGGTGTTCGTGTTGCTTTGAACACCAATTACTCACGCATGGTGGAAATGATATAGCCCGTACCTAACAAGAAGCTCTTGATCATTTTCACACTTATTCGATGAATTTTTTCCATTTACAAAGGGGGCATTTTTGAATGGCGGACTTAAATCTGTCGTCCAGAGGCAAGAGGGTCCAAGTGCCAATTTGCTTAATCACGCTTGGGCCTTTTGCCTTTGACGGCAGAAATGCGCCATGGAACAGGGCAGCTTTGCGTGAATGGAACGGCAGTGTGTTCTTATGTTGAGGCTATGCTAGGTTTCTAAGCCATCATCCAAATGCGAGGGTAAATAGCCTGAAGTGTTCACGAGCTCTTAAAACACAATGTATCGTTCTACGAACACATAGATCCGCCCAGAACACAGATCAAATCCGCCGAGATCCACTCAGTTCCGCTCGGATCCGCCGAGATCCGCTCAGATCCGCCGAGATCCGCTCAGATCCGCCGAGATGCGCTCGGATGCGCCGAGACTGGTCCGACAGTCGCCTGGCCACTAACCAGCTCAGCATGTCCCGGAAGTGCTGGCGGCGCAAAGCTCGGCGCGTCGAGGTCAGCATGCAGTATATGATGTCAAAGGCCGGGTCGCCGAAGCGTGACGTCTGCAGGTCCAAGAACTTGATGTCCTCCGGGTGGCGCACGCCGTCCTCATCTGTGCGGTACTGCAACATGGAACGTCCGTGGCGCGACGCAGAAAGCGCCGCGGTGCACCCAAAACACAGAAGATGCCTTAAATTGCAAACAGAATGCCGTAATTTGCATCATACCAAATGCTGTGGTGGGCGGCAAGGAGAAAGAATGTGGTGTAATGAAAACCGAACGACAAGGATTGCCGCTTCTTACAGTCCTAGACAGGCCACAGTCGTTAAGGTGGCCTTAAGATGAGGTTGAGTGTCGCGTCGCTACGCCTTAAAAGCCGAGGGACAAATCACGATAGGAGGGGTCAAACTGGAATCTGAGGGGACCGACCAACAAAGACATTATTTTAATGGGAACCGGGAAAAATATAGGCATACGAGCAAAGTTGGGAGAAGCAGATCCCCCTTGGGAGAATTGGGGGATGGGCGATGTCCCATTCCTTCCCCGCCCCGCCCCCTAGAGGTTACACACATGCTTCACGTTAAACTCAGTCCCGACGGCTCATTTGGTTAGAGCGCTTTTTATCAGGTCTACCCACACGTGACGGGGTGGGTTCGAGCTGCTCTCAGCGCTCGTGTCGGGTCAGTTTGAGTTGCTCTCAGTGCTCTTGTCGGGTCAGTTTGAGCTGCTCTCAGCGCTCGTGCCGGGTCAGTTTAAGCCGCTCTCAGCGCTCGTGCCGGGTCAGTTTGAGCCGCCGTCAGCGCTCGTGCCGGGTCAGTTTGAGCTGCTCTCAGCGCTCGTGCCGGGTCAGTTTGAGCTGCTCTCAGTGCTCGTGCCGGGTCAGTTTGGGCCTCTCTCAGCGCTCGTGTCGGGTCAGTTTGAGCCGCTCTCAGCGCTCGAGCCGGGTCAGTTTGAGCCGCTGTCAGCGCTCGCTATGTTGCTCCTGACTGGAATGACCTGTGGACTGTGGCAGCAGTCATGCCAGTGGTCAGATATCGTTAGAGTCTTAGAGGACAGGATGGTCGTGCCGAGCATTACGGCACGTCGAGCTTTTGCCGCAAATGTCTGGCGTTGGCCTGGAATTTCATCATCGGTTGGGCTGGTTAGTGTCCACAAAACAAACACTGCTTAGCATGTGTTATGATTTCAGAAATTCATCCAACCGAAGCTTCGGAAATGTAGTGGATCAAACCCCGCTGCATAGGGGTTTTAACAGTGCTTCATGTCACTCACCATGACCTATACCCTCAACCGATTTAAGTAAGTGGTTCCTCCGTGGCACACAATGTACTGCAAAAGAAAGCAATGCGATGCATACATCACGATTCACATGCGATGTATTGCAAATGGACGAGCTGTTCTGCACATGTCAAAAGAAGCGCAGTGATGTGTATCAAGTAGAAATACTGTGATGTTTTGCGAATAGAAAGAGCATTGCTTTTTGCTGAGCATGTGATGTACCTATTGCGGACAGATGATTTCCTGTGATGTACCCGAAGCTGAACAAGTAGAGTATGGGATCTCTGAACACTGTGGTATCCATCTAGGTTCCCGTTCCAGAAATCTCACTTACGTGGCTCGTCCCCGACGAGTGATAGCGGCCTGCCCAACAGAATCAGGCGGAAATGGCAGCTGCCACTCGGAGGGGCTGCACGGCACAGTAAACGTGTTGGCAGCATTGACCGCTGCACTGGAATTGCAAGCCAGGGATGGTGTGGGGGTCAGCTTGTTTGCAACAGGTTGTGTTGGATAACGGCCGTGGTCTACAAACTAAACCAACATAAGATTTCAAAGCATCTCCTTCAGTTAAGTTTGATCCTCTGTGAATGGTGGCCTGCACCTTGATTGATAAAGTACAAACAGAAGGGCTGTACTGCACTGCGAAACAAGAAAGCTGTGATGAGCTACAGGTGTTATGATGTGCTCTGTAAGGAGGTTGGTCCACTGCGTAAGGAAGGAGCAGCTTTCAGGAATTGTTCACGATATCAAACTATAATAAGCGAGGTTGGACCATGATACACACAGAAAGCACGCAACGAACGCCACTAAAAACAAGCGGAGGATAATGCGAACAGAGCTCTGTCCCACTGAACGCAGAGCCAAACGGCCCATGCCGCATGCGGATGGATTGTAACCATAATTCTGCACGGAGGAGAAAACGAAGGATCGTGCAAGCAGAGGTGCTGTATCTTGCTGTAGGGGGTGCGAACTGAAGATCATGCAAACGGAGGTATCGTGTTGCACAGAGGAACCCACAGGAGATAATGGGAACAGCGGAATTGTAGTCATACCACTCACGCAGGCAAATAGAGCGTAAGTCTTCGACAAATAGAGGGAACGGCTCGTGCCGCACAGCGTGGCGCCGATGCTGAGGTGCCGGATACTAACCTTAAACATCATATTGCTGATCCAGAGATCACCATGGACCAGCGTTACCACGTCCAGATCTTCTGTGAAGGTACGGTTGAAGCCGTCTATGAAGTGATTGGCGCTGGTGACTCTGTCCACAGCGGCTGCCTCTGACAGAAGGCCCTCGTGCTCCAGCACGGCCAGAATGGGCTTCAGGGCCAGGCCGAACTGGGACAGGTCGTCCGGCATCTCGAGACGCACCTGTCGCGGCCGGGGAAAGGTCACACTGAGGTCCCTCGCGATCAGGCCACGTGCGGGTTCGAGTACCGGTATTACTCTCAGTGTGGGGGTCGCTATTACAACAAAAGGCGCCACGCGGAGGGGGAAGTTTGGCTTTCTACTAACGCCACAGAAGTACGCGAAGGCGTGAGTGACAGACGTGGGTGACAAAGACACCTAGGCGCTGCAGATACGGAAATTATTGCAACGCGCCGGTTTGCGTACGTCAGGAATGTGTAATCGGAATGAGCTCGGTGTTTTTGCGAGCTAAATTATTGGCAAAGCTGAGTGTAGTCGGTTGCATTTAACTGTACGGTGATCACGGTGCCGATGCTGCGAGTATCCACGATACCATAGGGCACGGGGTTTCGTCGCTGTGGTCTCAAAACAGCGTTGTACTGCTGTAAGCTTCGCCTTCATGAAGTTGTCTTAACGTGCATTTCAGTCTGTCCTTCTGTCCGTCTGTCTGCCTGTCCTTATTGCTGAAGCCTTACGCTGCGTAGACGATCGGCTCTTTCAGAATGTTTCTGGTGTAGCACGTAGCCCATCGCGTGGAAACGAGCCATGGCCGGCAGCACCAGCCGCACGTGATCCAGGTCAAACCCCACCTGAAGATCAAGGTCAGATCATGAGTGCTGCCATAGCCGAAGCTGCCAGTCTTAAGGTGACAGATGCCCGGTCTCGCGTGACGGTTAGCTTCACATCAGATGCCCCCCTCAGCGCAGCAGGTGACGCAGCTGGCTTGAGCTGGCTCGCCTGGTTCAGGCACCAGTGATGGGCCTCTGACCTGACCGAGCTCAAGGCGACCGGCCAGATCATGCGGCACGAATGCAGCGTCCTGGTCACTGTTGACAGAACTCATATCTAGCGCCATGTTCTGATCTATTACGACTCAAAGACATCTGGCACAGCTAATGTTATGTTATAGATGCACACACACACAACAGGTAAAACGTGACGGATTTTTCGCCAGCCTTCACGGCATGTGTCTTTTTGCTACCCGTTGCCCCATTCCGTTGCAAGTTGCCAGAAATGTTCAGTCGCAATATGACATGAGAATTGTGGGTAGTACGACGCAGTGGTAGCCGCTAATGGTTCCTACTGAAGTGACAACTTATCGGACGAATGGCAAACAAAAGTCAACGGCTAGCAAGAGTATAACGTTATAACAGCCCGTACGTGTTGCTTTCCTCCTGAGGGAATGATGCAGCTTGGTTGCGAAGTTTAAATGGTTGACTACATAAGCCGGCTGGTTACGTAATGTGTACATTTCGGGAAAAACCCCCCTCTTGAGCCCTCCGACATGATTAATTGATAAATTTCACTCTCTCCGCCACGTAAACCGCCACAATATTGTTTCCACATCATAATGCAGTGATAAAAGCGGTTGTAGCAAGCTCCAGGGTAGGGATGGGTCACCAATGTTTTCTGCATTTGCCCGGGGAAAACTGGGTCTGAAACGCCCATTGCCTCCCAGGCATACTTTCTGACTCCTTGAGTTTGCTAGTTGCGAGTTGCCTTGTTTTTGTTTGTTGTTCCAAAATTCAACACTTGTTGAATTTTGATATTTCTTGAAGGTAATTGACTCCTTTTGTGCTCGGTCTCCTTAGAATAAATGAGGTAGCAAAACATGTGTAATCACTCGCAAATGCCACATACGGAAAACCTTTTTCGTCATCTTCGAAGTCGGTAGGTGTCTTTTACGAACATGTGGATGTTTCGATGAAAAGGCACCTCAAAATGATGGATTGTGCAGGAAGGCGTTCCCTGACTGCCACTTAACCAATTTGTTTTCTTTGCTTTAATGTAGTAGTAAGGTTGGGCCGAAATGAACGCTCACGACGCATAATCTCTTCTGAATCTTACCCAGCATGCACGTGGCTACGCTTGCACTTTATCCTGCTACTAACACCCCTATCACTGTTCCCATGATGGATCATGGCTACTCGTCGATAGGCATGGCAAACCCGACAGGAAATGAAGGGTGCCCCGGCACGGGAGGAGGGTGCCCCGGCCAGAATGCCCACCGGCCCGTCGCCAGCTGACCTTCTTGTCGACGACCTCGTAGCCCGTGAGCATCTCCAGCACCATCATTTCGCCCAGCCGCTGGTCGGCCGCCAGCTGGCCGCGCTCGTCCAGGATCTGGCCGTCCTTCAGCATCGTGCCGTAAGCCAGCCGGGCGAACGGCAGCAGCACGGGCTGGCCGCGAGACGTCAGTAGCTGGCGGAACACCTCCACCACCTGGGCGTACATGACCACCTCGCGCTCGTACAGCCCGAAGTCGCGGCACTCTTTGACGAACATCCCGCCTGGCGACAGATGGGGCGGATGCGGGCGCGGACGTGTCAGAAAATTGGGCTCGGATGTTCATTTCGTCCACTTCGCGTCAACCGATGCTTCCCAAAATAAACGGAGTCACGCTTAATGAAAGCCAGGCATCTGTATGATGTTAGATGACATATGTGGTTACTGCGTGGCAAGCCTGAATAATTATCGAATCGGTCGTGACTTATATTTTCGGCGCTTTCCAGACCACATGCGAAATACAATGTGCATTTTGCAGGGCGCGTCGGCGCATGCCAACGAATGGACTCGAGAGGGATGGAGATTGGCGCACTCGTCTGCCGGCATTTTTGGAAGTATTTCTCCAGCCATTCAGCTTGTCTTAAGTCAATTGCGTCCATTCACGTTGGTATTTTGGCTTTTTCATATGGTGTGCAATTTTGAGCCTCTGGCCCGAGCAGGTCACCGACCCATGACCTCGCTCTGAAGCTCTGTGCCTCGCGACGCAGAGCGGAAGTGAAGGGAAACAGATTGCCCGATGAATTATCAGTTGTGTGCACCGTATCTCCTCTCCTTGTATGGAGATCCTATGTCATACACCACTACCGCTCACGCCCTTGCGTAAGGTCAGCCAAGGTCTAGGCCAATTTAAGATCGCTTTAGGTCAACCCTTATAACTTGCCTGGAATTTCTTCTCAGACACGTTACGTCATTAACCAAAGTAACTGAAGCGTGAGAGCTCTCAATGGCTGTGAAAAGACCACTGAGGAGCATGGTGACTTCTGTTGAACTTTCCATAGTGTAAAAGGTAGTGTTACCAGTCGTAACCCAAATGTACCAATATTATCGCCCTACATAAAGATCGCGACCGTGGCAAAGGTTCACCATCCAAACGTACCGGGCAGTTTGACGACGAAGTTGACGACCTCCTCTTTCTCCTTGACCTCATCGCAGTACGTAACCTCCAGAACTTTTCTCACGGTCGTGTAGCCCTCCCCCAGCGTGGCCACAGGCCAGTACTTGTAGGCCTTGACGACAGATCGGTTGCCGGCTGGTAGGAAGCGGTCGAGGAACGTCTGCACGAGCTCGGGGGTTATGCCGTGTTTCTCGGGCTTATCGTCGGCGCTCGGCTCTCCCGTCTCCGTCTTCAGTTGCCCTGGTTTGATCCTGTCTTCCGCGGCTCCCGCCTCTGCGCTATGCTGGGCCGCCCCCTGCCCTGCCCCCAGCTCGGCCGTCTGCCGCTCCGGGCTGGCCTCCTGGCCGGGCTCGTCTCCCGCCATGACCGTCCGTCGTCTGGTGGGGCTGGCTTCGGTGCTCGGACCGGCGGACAACGTGACGCGCTTTGTCAGACGTGACCACGTGACTCTCCGGCGTCCGAGCACCACAACTACTGCGGCCGCCGCCGCTAGCAGAGACGCACGGAGCACCAACTGATTAGCCAACTGATTGGCACCAACTCCGCGCGAGACACGAGCGCCAAGGTCGGTGGGACGCTGTGTTGGTTCGCAGACCGAGGCCGACGCCCGTGACCATAGGTACCTAATACCACTAGATCGGCAACACCCATGCTAAATTACTAGCAGACGCGTGCAATCGAAAGCGGAGCATCAGATGTAAAACGGCATAGACTGGCAGGCTAACTGGACAAATTAAGATAAACCGGACGAGTAACGGGCAACCATAGATCTACGGAACTAGATAGGACAGCTGAATGGAGTGGTCCGCTTGCTGGTACGTCGGACCGGCCGGCATATGGGTACAGTCAAGAAAGATAGACTCGCTCTGTCAGAGCCATGGCAGCATACGGGGCATCTTTGATCTTTGTGATAGATCGCGGAAGCAAAGATTAAAGCTAGAGCCGGTCCTTAAGGGCTTTACTAGATAATATTTTTTGTCAAAAACTATAACAATAACCAGGAGTATCACCGCACATCAATTTAGGGCCAACAAGGGATAAAACGTTTCCAATTTACGACTCACCAGTGCTTGCATCAGTCGACGCTGAGGATGACGTTGTTTTCAGTGTCAAAGCCATAATGGTGAAACGAATGTCCTGTTTCCCCATGTCAAGATGTCATGAGACTTCTGATTAATGTTGTTTGCTTAATCATGAACTTCAGCCTCAGCTTTGCACTCGATCGAATTAGGCATATGACATTTTGTCTGACATGTATGTCAATCATGTCAGCAGCGACAAGCAGAGCCTGGAGAGCTGCTGATTGGCTGGTTGATGCCACGAGGTACGTGCAATGACCGTGGCGGCCGTGTGCGTGACCGTGATTGGTCGAAGAGTGGCGTCATTTAGCAGGATGATGCTAGTGTTGAATCTGAGCTTTGGAGTTTCCGATACTGTGAAATCTTTTAAAACAACCAATGGGAATAATTGTTTGTGAACTTTTTGCATCATGTTTGTTCTGTTTTCCTTTTCTGCGAGGGTGCTACGGATGCCTTCTACATTTCGATATTTAAGGTGTTGATTGCATGATCCGTTTATTCCTTTAACATGTTCTCTTAACTACATCATTTTGTCCTCCTCATACACACACCTCTCACTAATTTTGTGAGGGTACGCCGACGGGAACGGGTGATTGCCAACAGATTTGAAAAGCCGGAGATGAAAAGAATCCCCTCCAAGGTTTTTACAGAATGATTTTCAAACGGGGTGTCATAGTCCGACCAAACTCGATCTAGCTGTAGGCAATTGAATAGCTGATCTTTTGTGTAAAAAATTAAATGTACACTTGTAAAGTCACCGGTCTGTGGCAGGTCAAAGCCGGGCCGTGACTGTCAGCGAAGGCAATTCCTAGGGAGTCGTTAGATCTGATGCGACAGCGAAATGGTAGACGACGCCACACATCTCCGAGAAAGCTTCATAGGCAATACTACCATTGAAGTTATGATTAAAAGGAATGACGTTGCCAAGAAAAAGACGTGAATATATATTATTCTTTTGTTTACTTAGGTGAGGCTAATGGCACTAAATTTTCCTACGAGTAAATAGCTTAACTAATGATAGCTTGAATAAATTATAACTTATATGATAAATAAATAAATAAATAAATAAAGAATGATAATAAATGCATATTAAGTGACAACTTGAACAATTTGAATAACTTACAACCTTTTTGCTAGATTCCAGTGGGAATATATTCTAACTGAATTCTTCATTCATCATCTTAGGTCATTCAGCTTTTTTCAGAAGCGCTGGAGGACTGGTGCGACGTTAGTGCAGCACTAATATTCAATAAAGGAACCAAAAAAGTGTCAGTGATCACAGAACTGTCAGCCAAGCCTCACTAGTATGTGAGATGTGAGAGCAATTATTTAAGGCTAACATTAAGTCGCTCCTAAATAAGCATCAGTTAATGATTACTTGCCAGCATGGTTTCCTTCTTGGTAGTCCCTCTGCTTGACAACTATTCACGGAGTTCATGGAGCATGTTACTAGTGAGATAGATAAAAGCAATAGGTTAAATGCCGTTCATATATATATATATATTAGTAAAGCGCTTGATCAGGTGCCACACTAGCTTCGCAATCTCAGTTAGAATTGCATGGAATTAAGGGAAAGCTATTGGCTGGGGGGAGGGTTTGCCAGCCAGACAGGAAACAGAGAGCGATGCACAATGGCACAAATTGTCAGTGGGAGCCAGTAAGGTGTGGGGTTCCACAAAGGTCGGCCTTTGGTCGTTTTCTCTTTATTATTGTTGTGAATAATATCGAGCTAAGGTTTAGAGAGCGAGCTGCCGAAAACTTCTGACAATATCCAACGGTAGGGTGTCGAGAAATACCGACCAGATGAACCAAACCAAGCTTAGAGAAACTAGTGAATTGGGCCTTCCCGTGGCAGATGCCAATTAATCGTGACATATGTAGGGTGATAGATTTGGGTAGTTTTGGCAGAGTATTGGCAATAAAATGGGAGGCCGGGAGTGCGAGGAAGAAATGGACTTTGGGATAATCATTTCTGGGAAAATAAAGGCTGAAAACAATGTTGGGCTGCTGGGAGCCAGGTGCTGCGGATGCTGGGACGTGTTCACAGAATGCGCATTACAATAGTAGAAACGTTGTTCAAAAGGTACACTCAGCTTATGTTAGGCCACACCTAGAGTTGTGTGTAGGGGCTTGGTCCCCATCCCTTCAAAAATATGTGCAAAGGCTGGAAAGACTACGGCGAAAAGCAACTATGATAGTAGACGGGATTTGTATTCAGTGAAATATCGCAGGCTTAGAGGGGATCTGATATAGGTATTCAATGTTATGAAAAAATTGACAAGGTAGCTACATGGAGCTCTGGAAATTAGGCCGAGACTTAGAGGATACCAGTTTCATTTAACAAAAGGCAGGAATAAAAATATGGGAAGGCAGGTGACATTTGACCAAAGGGTAGTGAATCATTGGAATGGACTGCCAAGCACGGTTATAGGAAGTCCCTCTTTGGCATCATTTAAAAGCCATTTGGACAAGCTCTGTCCGTCTAAAGATTGCATTTATAGTTAAATTTAGGCAGGTCAGGTGGTCAGATTAATTTTGAGGGTGTGTACAAAACCTGAGGTATGCCAGTCTCGATGGGTCGTTGTGGCTTTTGTTAAACAGATGTCTTGCCTCTCATGCCTTTATTACAGTTAAACCGAGGTATAAACCAGCCGGCTTTTTTACCCGGGACTTTCCCGTATGTGGCAGATTCTGGCGCTCATTTCGAAGGGGCTTGTATTGATAATGCAGACCGCGACAAACATCTCCCACGAATATCTTCAAGGTCAGAGAAGGTCACTGTCCTAAGGTAACCCAGGTAAACAGTTGTTTTTATGAGCACACCGCCGAGAGCTATCCTTCACGCTTGTTCAAATAAAATGAATACAATCTCGTGTGATTTTGGTCAAAATGACCTGCCGAGGGTTAGACAAGGCCACAGACCTTGAATGAACACCAGTGGTCTTGCTTACAACAGGTATTTAGATTCGAGATGGTTGCACGAGGAGGTCGGGGGGGGGGGGGGCACTTCACAGAGCCAATCTGAAGTTTGGCCCCGTTTGACCTCATTTGGCTCCATGGTCACAACCTAACAAACGAACATTGTTCACTCATCGTATTATTATCAGCACAACGGATTGGAGAACGAGGCTAACCAATCTTGTAAATTTGCTGCACCTAGCTCTCTGAATTTTTTAGAGCTCACGGGTCCCTGAGCGAAGGGTATTCAACCGGCCACCCGGGTGCGTGCTAAGGGTGGCGAATGGAGAATGTAAGGAGCTCAGTTTGACAATATCCAGTAAGATACAGAGAGATCAGTGAGAGTTTTGGGGTTAAAAGCGACGCATAAGTTACCAGGTTCACTGCGCCTATTGGCGTTGTGCGGGACGGTCGATAACAAGGGCATGACCCTAGCGATGGATGCAACATGGAAAATGATGTACACAAAGAAAAAACGTTTGGGGAAGATGCGATCCATAGTAGTGGCGGTAGGCGTAACAATGCTGCATTCCTGGTCCACGGAAGCAGGTGGCCACTGGAAGTGTGGTCCAGGGGACAGGAGGTTCCAGAGTGGTCCAGGGGCAGGGGATTCGGAGTGGTCCAGGGGCAGGGGATTCAGAGTGGCCCAGCGGCCACGGGACCGCAGCCCGGCTCGAGGTGACTATCAAGGTGATCCGAGGTAGCTATCGAGGTGATTCGAGATCACTATCGAGGTGACTACGGAGGCGACTCGAGGTGACTATCGATGTGACTCCAGGGGACTGCTGTCGCGGTGAAGGTGATGCGGACACCCCACGGCCGGCCCACCTCTCTGCGGAAGGGGGAGGACTGGTCCGTATCTCGGCGCAGACGGCTCGTCTGACAAGGTACTCGGAGAGCGTGCTGCGAGCAGATAGCCGATAAAATGGATGGATGTTGTTTGGCAGAAATTGAAAGACCCCACGGGGAGTGCCAGTAATGGATGAGCGGCGCTTTTCGAGGAAAACATACGCACGCCAGCGCAAGGATATCGCGTGGCGGAACTCACGTCCGATGTAAATGGCTTTATGTCGAGCCGTACCGGTCCCATGTGAAGCGGAAAGAGTAGTTGTTTTTCGTGGACGCAAGTAATTTGCTGTGGAACAAGAAAATACGCACAGCTACTTTCGAATCCTGACGGAGTCCATTTGATATCTAGCGTGCCTCTATGGCCTGGTTATATCTCGCATCTCGATATACCCGAGCAGCTCACTGCATTGTGTTGAAGCAATGGCATCATAAACTTAGTTCATGAGAATCACTTTTCCGATATATGAGCACCGTCTCTGATCGCTCTCTTCAGAGATATTTGTTGCATTTTTAAAGTGGGTCATTATCTGGTCACTGAGTGCACCTGAACTGCTTTGAAGGT